AATCCTAGTTGACCTAATGAAACATTAATTAACCTAAAAATCCAACCATTGGACTAATTGGGTTGTGATTGGGTTGGGAATCCTAATTAGGGTTTAGAAAACCCTAATTATGGATTGTTGGTTTGGAATTATCAGGACCCATGTTTTGGGCGATTGGAATTGAATTATGAATTACACCCGATCACATCGTATGATTTATCTAGTAGAGTGATAGTCTTAATGGATTAAGTCCTTAATGGGTTAAGTAAGAACACTTAACCCAAATCGTCATTTTATGTGAGAAGCCCTAATTATGTTTGGGCTTCAAGATGGGCCTTCTGTTGGGCTTTGGTGATTGGGATATTAATGGGCCATCTAAGAAGAAGTATATGGAGTAGAAGATTTTGATTGGGCTTTAGGATAAGGCCCATTGGAAAGGCTTGGTCCTAATTTGAAAAATTAGTCCATAGATGGGCCATAATTGGGCGTTGATGATCATGAGATATTGGGCCATCGGAATGCCAAATAGGCCATCCAAGAAGAAGTATATGGACTAGAATATTTTGTTTCGGCTTTAGGATACGGCCCTTTGGAAAGGCTTGGTCCCAATTTGAAAAATTAGTCCATAGATGGGCCATAATTAGGCGTTGATGATCATGAGATATTGGGCCATCGGAATGCCAAGTGTTTGGACTAGAACAAATGGTTGGGCCATAAGGTAAGACTATGTAGAAGTTTGGGCCCAATTTGGAAAATTGGGCCATATGTTGGGCCTTAATTGATTATTTGGCTCCTAGGTTTTCAGAATGTAAAATTGGGCTTTGGTCTTGAACTAAGCTAGGATCGGAGTAAAATGGTCCTCTTACCCTAAGTATGGATTTATGGATATGCATTGAAACCCAAATGGTTAATTGGGTTTTGTTTTGATGTTGACAGTTCGGGGATCTATCAGCTAGCAGCCAGAGATTTATTCACATGACTTCAGCAGTACGAGGTGAGTTTTCTCCTGTAGAAATGGGTCTACTCTGATACTTTTACATGTGGTTTTGGATACTTTGATTGATGTTATGATATTTTTGAGAAACAAAACTTATGATTTTATATGATGAATGATATTTATGGTTTTTATTAATGATTTAAAACGAAATTTTTGGACTCTATTTTTTGGATGTTTCAAGTTGGTATCAGAGCCTTGATTTGAGGGATTCGGACACACTCTCGGGTGTGTATGAACTCAAACTGAGGACTTGCTATAAAAATTTTAAAAGAAAAACCATTTTTATAAAAGGATTTTGAAAAGAGAAAATGGTGTGGTGCATGCAATCAGCCGAGTTCAAGTAAGTATCCCAAATTACCTATACAAGTTGTTATGACATGATATGCTTATGTGAACTGCATGCTAGATTAGGGATAAGGATCTAGGAAGGATGCCTTGTATGTCTGCTTTATGTGTATGAGAACTGCATGCTAGATTAGGGTTGGGGATCTAGGAAGGATGTCGTGTATGCCAGTTGTATATGCTTGTTGAGCTGTATGCTAGTATTGATTAGTCAGTAATATGATGGTATGATTAAGTTATGCTTGGTTATGGTTACTCAATGCTCGAATGCTGCTTGCTTTGTGCTTATAGGAATCCTAGTTATCTTTAATTAACTAGTAAATGAATAAATTAAGTTACATATTATGAGTACTAAATAATTTAAGAAGGCTAGGTTTTAATGCTATTGTGAAGCTCTTGTTTGAGTCCTAACTGTTGTAGTATGATTCCTCTCATTCGAAGAATTATCTAGTATGAGTAATATGTAATTGTATTCGCGAGCTAGTTAGGGAAGGGTAGCAGGGGACTTCTTATGCAACTGATGGCAGAGAGTAGGTTGGAGATTACCCTAGGGCAAGCATAGGATGAGATTAGCGTGTGAAGTAGTAGTAATAGAAAGGACATGGTTTAGTCGAGGCAATTCTTGAGGAAAGTATGGATAGATGTGGAAAGGTAGTATGGGCTCGTACTACTAAAAGCAGAGGATTCATACTCGAATCAAGGAGGGTAATATGAATCCAAAGAACCTGTAGTGTGTGAGATCCCCTGAGTATGATGAGTATTATGATGATTGTGGTGGTATATTTTCGAGTATGGTGACGTTACGTGGTAGACCAGATGTCAGATCTGGTGCTAGTGAGGGATCAGGCTCGGACTCTGGAGTCGGGTAGCTTGATGGTCAAATGAGGGAGTTCATTTTATCTGAGAGTACACACAGTATCACTTAACATACTCCTGTGATCTTCGATACGATCAAGGAAGGCATTTGGAGATTCTTGATGAGAGGTTGAGTGCATTCTGCACTGAGATAACGGCCATGATAGGGACACGTACGTTGATGTTTCGGGAGTTTAGAGCTTGTGAAGTTCCAGATTATCATGGGGCTAGGGACCCCATTGCTAGCAACAGATGATTGACAGATGTTGCCAATGTTTTTCTTGTACCTGCCGTAGTCCCGAAGGGGACACAGTCTGACTTGCTTCCTGCCTCCGAAAATACATGGCACATGATTGATGGGAAGAAGCTGGTAGTGACTTGAGTGATGAAGCGGTTGATGTTATGTCATGGGATGACTTTTCGGCCAGATTCCGGGCAGAGTTTTCTCAAGCAATTGAGGCTTAGCAGTTGGTGCGAGAGTTTCTGGATCTCCTCCAAGCCTTGCGAGAGAGCTTATTAGGTACCTTAGTATGCATCGGATGAGGAAATGAAGAAGGTAAGGTATCATGCTACACTGCAGAATGATATCAGCGAGATCGTAGGTATCTCGGGGTGCGAGACCCGAAATGATATGATTTCTAGAGCCCGAGAACATGATACTAACTTAGAGCACATTATGAAGAGGGAACTAGATCAGTTTCATAATCTGGAGGGTCTCAGAAAGGGACCCAAGATTTCGAATCAGTTTGTGAGAGGCCAGCAGGGCCAGATTCAATGTAGCACATGCGGTAAACTGCATAATGGAGTCTTTCATTCCACGGGTTTGAATTAGTGTATCTATGGGTTATTCTATGTCTGTGTTTGAATTATATTTTCAAGAGATGCACATGCTAATTGCATACCAAAAATTATTAGTGGGTAGCGAAAGGTCATTTCCTAAATTATGGGTGGGGAGTGTACAGTGTCGTCTTGGTTTTTGGTAGAGATCGGATCAGGGGTGTTATATGGAAAATCTACAGTCAGGGTTTCGTAGGATGGTTATCCAGCATCATCAGGATTCGGTGGTCTTAGTAGCTTTTATTTATTCGCTGAATGGAGCACCAAGGGAAGTGGCTCGATGATGAGGTATTAGTAGGAGCATCTGTCTTATAGTCATCAAGAGTCGAGTGTGGGATCATTTCAAGCATCAGGGGCTATCGGTTTCGTTGGGATTCAGGAAGTGTTCATATGGTCCTTAGAAGTTGTGTGATCTTTTGGGAACGGCTAGTAATGGGGCACTAGTTGGTAAGAGATGGCAGACATCGGATCGATCGTTGGAAAGTGAGAAGGATTGGGAATTCTTCAATTTTCCTATATTGTGAAGACTTAGTCGAATATAAGTGGGGGAGAATTGTCCAGGGATTCAAAAGCAGGAGCAGTTTTGAAACAGGGATAAGTTTTACATCCTTGTCAGGAAGGAAGACAGCCCAAGCAGCTATATGGAATGAGGATAGTGTGAGTTGGAAGTTCGGAAAACTAGCCAATGATGAGATCGCATTCTCGGAATGTTTGATAACAGGACTTAGGGAACTAGGTTGGCGATTTCAGTCAGGACATGAGTTCAGTTGGGATGTTAGATCGCATGTGTGCTCAACATCAGATGTGTTTGGATTGGTAATCAGCGGACAGATAGTGTGAGAAAGTGTTGTAAGTCTGCGGGTGTAGCCGTAGCATTCACAAGGTTGAAAGATAGTGTGAGAAAGTATTGTAAGTCTACGGGTGTAGCCGTAGCATTCACAAGGTTGACAGATAGTGCTAGAGTGTTGTAAGTGTGCTGGTATAGCCGTAGCATTCACAAGGTTGGCAGATAGTGTTAGAGTGTTGTAAGGCTACGGGTGTAGCCGTAGCATTCACTAGGATGGTAGATAGCATGAGAGTGTTATTAGAACGCGAAAGGAACAGTAGTACCCACCAGTTCGGGTGCAATAGGGAGGGCGTGGCAAATCCACGGATTGGCCTATGGATTTACCCAGATTAATTAGACTTGGTTGAGCCAGTGATAAGACCGTAGGAACGCCATTACAGTTATGAGATCAAGGAAGCAATGGAATGCTTAAGGTTGTTTATGATATATTGCCACCTTTTAGTCATATGGCAATCACTTTTAGCCTTGGAATTTGTGACATCATGACTTGACGTATGGACTCGATTAGTTAGATCAAAAGGTCGTTTGACCCATAGTGGCAAGATAACTAGTGGCAACTATTGACAGATAAGGGTTTCATTTGAAAGTCATGTGGAGCGAATACGTGTAAAGGCTAGGTTATGCTCGGGTTTGTGGCCATGTCGTTTAAGTTGTTTGGCGTATAAGGAATGGTAAGGAACGATTTCGAGGACGAAATCCAATTGAAGTGGGGGAGAGTTGTAAAACCCCATTTATTAAATAAATAAACAGACAAATTAATGAATGAATAGTAGTCCTAAAATCAATAATAATTTAGCAAGGTGTTGGTTTCCAGGAGTTAACTATCATAATTTTAGAATTTGGGGGTTAAAAGTGTAAGTTCCGGATTGGTTTTGTAAATATTTATGAAGACAGGGACTGCTTGGTAAATTGTTGGGACTTAATTTGAAGAGATTTTGGAGGCTAAGGGGTAATATATGGACTTCAATTGAAAATAATTTGTAGAGGAGGGGCTGTTTGGTAACTGTTGTACTTATTATGAAAGGAATTATGGAAGAAGGAGTATAATGGGTAAGTATCGGAGCTAATTCGAAAATATTTCAGAAGGGAGGGACCAGTTTTGTCAACATGGGATGAAGTTTCAAATGGTGTCGGGTATATAATATGTCCCATAACCCTAACCCTAAGGGACTCGTCAGCCGCCCCTTGTAAGTTTATCTTTCATCCTTTACATATTTTCTATTATATTTCTATAAATTATTTTACATTGTTTTCAATTGTTAGAAGTGGAAATAATATACTAACAAAGGTTTTTAAAATGATATTATTACGAACTTTATTTTGTATGAGATGAAGCTTTCCACAGGTGTCGTCTGCAGTAACAACAGTAACACATGTAAAACAATATACAAAGGTCACATGGCTTCAACCCAACTATCCAGGGTTTGTTCGTTTACATCACAGAGAAATAACACCTCAACCTAACCATCCAGGGTTTGTTGGTACGTGGCCTCAACCCAACTATCTAGGTTTGTTGGCTTGTGGCCTGAACCTCACTATACCGGGTATGTTGACTTCCAGTCCCAACCCAACCATACTAGGTTTGTTAGCGTGCGGTCTCAACCCAACCACCTATATGTTGACATATACACAACAAATCACATATATAACTAACGTAGCAATCCTACATCCTAGGATACTTAAACACAATAAATGGGTCTCCCTTTGTGCCTTAGACCCATTGGCATAGTGAGAGAACTCACCTCAAACTGTCAAAAATCAGATAAATGCTCGGAGTGCTCATGTCGTGAGTACCATCTAGCAAAAACAGATTTATGGATTAACCTGTGCTCACGTTGTGAGCCTCTAAGTTCACATCATGAGATCCAATTTTTCAGAAAAAAAATTCGATTTTGTTAAGGTTCAAGCAATGTACATTCAATTGTTAGACAACCTACTGCAACGTCCCAAATTTCGAGTTCAAAATTTTTATTTTTAATCAATTGATTTATAAAACATTTACTGAAAATCTTGTTAATATCACAACGAACCATAAATCATTCAAAACATGTTCCAAATCAAAACACCAATAGTAGTAAAATCAGAGTACAATCCCAAAAATCGATAATGCGGAAATTTGATGTGCGAGTGATGTGCAGCTACCGCGCCGGCTCCTTCCCCTTCGCTGAAGAGGTACCTGAAACAAAACTGAAAACTGTAAGCACGAAGCTTAGTGAGTTCCCCCATCATACCACATACCATACAACATAAGTCATAAATACTGCCAGGCATATTTGGGTGCCCGACCTACCCCTTCGGTCCTTTCGATCGGACATTGCCCAGCATATCTGGGTGCTGGCCTCCCCTTCGGTCCTTTCGACCGAACATTGCCTAGCATATCTGGGTGTTGGCCTCCTCTTCAGTCCTTTCGACCGGACATCGGGGACTATTTCACCCCTCTACTACTACCACATAACATACATCACATAATCATAATATCATTTTTAAGATGATTTAAAGAATGAAAATCATTAAAAAAAAAAAAAAAAAAAAAAAAAAAAAAAAAAAAGTCTAATATCATGTTAGATGATTTAATTAGCGAGATGTGATAATGACAACAGTTATGTGAAGTCGTACATATTCACATTATCAAATAACCTATTCTCTTAGCTATTCTCATAGAATAACATTGTCCACACGTACACAATAGATGTCAATCCACATTTGAACCTGGTCTATATATATATAATATATATATATATATATATATATATATATATATATATATATATATATATATATATATATATATACATACACACACACAAATACACACACTACTATTTAACAATACCCCAATGCTTCAGGTCCCTTTGTGCTTCTTCTAGTAACAATTATACCCATCGTATGGGAGTATGGGTAGTTGTCCGTAGAGATCACGCGAAGTTTCCTTACTTAACTAAGTGTTTGGTATTTACTACTATCATTCCAGCAAACAAAACAAACTACTGATTCTATTATTCATCGCAATCTATAACCCCGCCCAAACCGTGAAACCAAACCAGAACCAAACCGTTAGTAATGGTTCGACTCGGTTCGGTTTTAATTTTCAATGGTTCGACTTCGGTTTTCGATTAACAAAAATTGTTGGCTTCGGTTTGACCTAAAAACGGAAAAAACCAGACCCTGAACACCCATATCTATAGCTATAATAAAAGGATAAGATTGTTTGAGTTTCAGATAAGCAACCTCATTTCATAGCTTGAGTACGTATCTTAATATCAGCCAATCTTTCATAAAGACCTGTAGACATGTGGCAAAGCTATAGCATGATTTTTTGTAAATATTTGCAAATAATTGTTTACAGACATGATCTTTTTACCTCCTATGCAAAGTACAACACACTTTTTTGAGAACTTTGATATGGTAGAAGCTATATGGTTTTCCAATCCAAAACAACATACCATAAACTCCATAATAAATTATAAACAGCAAGATTAATCATGTTTTTTTATCACTCCAACCAGGAACAACACAGATTAAAATCTCAATTGATAGTTTGTAACTCACCTCAACATCTTCTGGCTGATCAGATGTCGACCAGATGAGCAAGATAATGTTTCTAAAAAGGATAATAACAAGAAGAGGGAGAGGTTACATACTACAGAAGCCTGTTGGAATCATTATCTTTGCTGCAATAATCTGTTATTTGTTTGTTTTAAGTAAAAAGATTGTGTTTTTTGTGGATCGTGTACAAAATGGAATATGTGTTTATGATGAAGACAGTTCACTTAATCATTTTTTTATGTTTTTAGGGTTTCAGGTACTGATTCAAGCTGTAGAACAATTGATTGAAAACCAACCTCCTGAACAGAGGACATCTCTTCGGTTGTTATGGCTATATGTCATCATGTTGACTGCAAGAATAGTCAAACTTGCCTTATGGTTGTACAGCAGAAGTTCTAGAAATGAAATCGTTAGTGCATATGCAAAGGTTCTTATTTTAATGAACTTTTATTATTTTAGTTTTGCAAATAATAATTTTTTTTTTTAATTCTAACTAAAAAAATTCTTTCCTATTACAGGATCATTACTTTGATGTGGTTAAGACTTGGATTTTCTTTATTTCATTTTTACTATATTCATTTTGGCTTTGTATAGTAGTGAAGTTTATGTAGAAAAAGTGTCATAATAGCTACACTTTTATTAAATATATTTACAAATCTTCAGGAGATATAGCATTTGGAGAGATCCCACGTTTGTGAAAGTATATTCTTTTGTCAATAAATTACAGAAATATACAAGAAACTAACTCATTTGACTTTGAGTTGCTGCAGGTTTGGTCTAACCAAACCCAAATGAACTTCTAAAATTATCAAATGCAAGTCATGGTTGCTGCTTCTTGTGGGCAGTTTAGTCATTTCAATTAGAAATGTTATTCGGGCCAGAACCGAACCGAACCCGAATAACCCAAGAACCGAATAATGGTATTTGCATGAACCGAAAACCGAACCAAATAAGCAATACGGGTTCGATTCGGTTCGGGTTTTATTCGGTTCGGTTCGTGCCCGAATAACCCAAATAACATGTACAATGACCTATTATTATTGTATAACTTGAATAACCCAAATAACCCAAATAACATTTTTCAATGTGATTATAATTATTGTATTTTGTATGACTTTTCTATTTTATGATTTCATAACAAATCTTTTAAAGAAACAAATTTGTTAATTAAAAATAATACAAAGTATATATAATTGTTCCAAAGGTGCAAAAAGAGTTAAAATTTGTGAACTAAGAATATAAACACAGATAACATGGATTAACTATTCTTGATTAAAATGTAAAATTCAAACACCAAAATCTTAAGATATAGTTATGAACCAACATATTAAACACTAAACATTAAACACCCAAAACATCCAAAAATTTATATATAAGTATATAAGTTAAACATTAAACATTCCACACCCAAATTAAAATATGAATCTTAAGTTTTTAATCTTATCCAAAATAACATTTTTCAAATACGAATTAACTATTCGGGAATATTAATTGGTTGTACAAGAACGAATAAGCTATCAATCAAGGGAAAAAATGTAACTTTTCAAATTCGGTTCGGTCTATTTGGCCCGAATAAGCCCTTATTCGGGTAACCCGAAACCGGAATAACCCTAATATAGATACCGAAAAACCGAATCGAATTGCTCATTCGTGCCTAATTCGGTTCGGTTCGGGGTTTCGGGCTAAATTCTCATCCCTAATTTCAATGGTATGATGTTGCAGCAAATTCAGGAAATATAGGTTGAAGATTTTTTCTCAAAGCATACTCAAAGAAAAGTGAGTGCAACTTTTAAGCCATTAACTAATGTGCATTTTTAAGGGCAATGTGGTCATTTTTATATATTTGTTACATTTTTTTAAGTTAGGAGATAAACTCATAACCGGATAACAAAAATTTGCTTTCATTTTGTTACGTATTATAACATCCTACTTTCATTTGGTTTTTGTTGCATCACTTTGAAGTTTTGTCTCATTAAGATTTAAGGTCGTAATCTTTGTCAAATATGTTATAACACAATCCCAAAAAAAAAAAAAAAAAAACAACCTAGAGTTAAGCCCGGACGTTTTTATTAGTTGATATAATAGTTAAGGTAACTATATATTTGATTTTCTATTATATAGTTGATATAATAGTTAAGCTAACTATATATTTGATTTTCTTGCAACTACAATTAGACCGAGAGATCCACATGAATCAGTGTTGCTAATAGTGACCATAGCGATCGCTATAGCGAATATCAAGGCGAGGAGATGTAGTGTCGCTATGGGGTTCATAGCAACTAAATAGCGACATAGCGAACTGTTTAATTTTTTTAATCTGGTATAAATAGACCCTTTTTATGGTTTTTAGTTGACCAAGTCAAAGAGAGCTTGAGATATCTAAAAAAATTAACACTTTTTTTTTTGTAATATGTGTGTTTTACAACTTATTTAATCTAATAGTCTTGGTTTTTAGCTTATTTATTAGTTATAATTACGAAAAACATATAGGTAGGTTGTCGTTATTACCTCGTTATCACCGTCGATAACACCGGGACCAACCAAAAGGGTTGTTCATCTTCCTTGCCAACAAAAAGCTCTTAAATAAAGAAAAATGTAGTGGTATCTAAAATATAAGTTCGTCTCAAATGATCTTAATAAAAATATTATTGTTTCCCACATAAAGAGTCGTGTTCAACACATCCATCTCTAAACTGTCTTAACTACTTTTGGCCTTGTGTGATTAATGAGAAAAAAGTTTTTAAATCTTTTATCCCATCATTAAACAATTTTGTCAACTCTTTTTTTGTACACGGTTTACCATAAATCAAGTTATTTTTTAGCATTATTATATCAAATAAAAATAGCGATAACTTTCGTATTCATAAAAAAGATTCTTTACCGATATTTTGTTACATTTATGGAGCTTAGTCGCAGCGTGCACAGGTCTTATGAGAGAAATAATGTCTTAAGTCTCTATTATTTCAGGAATTTTATAATTTGTGAGGAAAAAAAAATATCATATTTACAATCTACAACCAAGTGATGGAATATTATTTAATAAAGTTTGAGCATAAAAAAAACTTCATCACTTACAACTTCATAAGCACCAACATGTCTTTAAAAAAATTGAAGGCCTACTTCATATCATATAGTGAGATTGACTTATTAGCTATGGAAAAATTGAGATAATCCTCCTGCAATTTGAAATATGATGATAACAAAAAAAAAACAATAACAACAATAACTAATGATGTAGCACTACAAACATCATTAATACAATTATATTGAATCTCACATGTTATTCTCCATAAATCAATAAGAAAATGAATTAATATACCCTTATAAGACAGCAAAATGTTAGACTGACTTGTTCAAACTCAATAAATGTATTTTTTTTCTAACAACAAGACAAACACAACTAATTATTTAGGGTTCCTATTGAAGCAAGAAAAAAAAAACAAGAAAATTGAAATAAAATAACAACCAACCACCGATAAAATGAATTAAGGCAATAAAAATGACGACCTTGTTGAATATCAACATACTTGACATAAGTATGCTGAGAAAGAGGAAAGTATCCCGGTAAAAAAAATTACACAAAATTATCATACAATTTTGCAAGAAAAAACACGAATTGCAACATTAAAATAAATAGACATGAAGTGTGTGTGTGTGTGTGTGTGTATATATATATATATATACATACATACATACACACAGACTTCATGTCTATTTATTTTAATGTAGCAATTCGTGTTTTTTCTTGCAAAATTGTATGAATGTAGCAATTCGTGATTTTTCTTGCAAAATCTTAAACTCGGGGGAACATAAACAGACTCACGGTCAACGAATTAAGTCCATAAACATCTCTAAACTGTTTTAACTACTTTTGGCCTTGTGTGATTAATGAGAAAAAAAGTTTTTAAATCTTTTATCCCATCATTAAACAATTTTGTCAACTCTTTTTTTGTACACAGTTTACAATAACTCAAGTTATTCTTGAGCATCATTATATCAAATAAAAATAGCGATAACTTTCGTATTCATAAAAAAGATTCTTTACCGATATTTTGTTACATTTACGGAGCTTAGTCGCAACGTGCACAGGTCTTATGAGAGAAATAATGTCTTAAGTCTCTATTATTTCAGGAATTTTATAATTTGTGAGGAAAAAAAAATATCATATTTACAATCTACAACCAAGTGATGGAATATTATTTAATAAAGTTTGAGCATAAAAAAAATCTCATCACTTACAACTTCATAAGCACCAACATGTCTTTAGAAAAATAGAAGGCCTACTTCATATCATATAGTGAGATTGACTTATTAGCTATGGAAGAATCGAGAAAATCATCCAGCAATTTGAAATATGATGATAAAAAAAACGATAACAACAATAACTAATGATGTAGCACAACAAACATCATTAATACAATTATTCAATGAACCTCACATGTAGCACCTGGTTCCTGGTGTGTAAATCTTATTTGAGTATTTTCCATTTTTAGCCTTGGACTCGGCAAGTCATAGGTCCGACTCGCAGAGTAGAGTCGGGACCCGGGACACGTTTTAAGTTGGCTTTTCGGCGAGTCCGTATCCTGGACTCGGTGAGTCACCGTTGATGGATGAAACCCTAGGTTTCAGGGGTTTGCACCCTATTTAAACTCTCATTCCGCCCCAATCTCGCCCCCATTCACCCTCAGAGCTCTATACCTTGTTCAAGAGTTGTTTCTTTGTGAGTTTGAAGCATTTAGTGTGCTCTCTTTAAGTTTTGGAGTGGGAAAAAGAGTAGATCAAGAAGAAGAAGAGGAGGTCAAGCATCTTTGAGCTATCTCAGTGTGTTCCCTAAGGTATGACTCGATTTTCCCCTTGTCTTCATGCTTATAGTCCCTTATAGCTCCATTAAAGTCTTTCTTGAACCATTTCCAAGCTTGTGTATGTTTGGGGGTTCGTAATAAGCTGAGTAACCTCTAGATCTAGGCATGGTTGAGCTCCAGGAGCTCAGATCTACTGCCTTTATGGACCCATGTTGCATGAGAACCTTATATCTACTCTTTTGGTGCATTTTGAACCCTAAAACCCTCATGGATGGATATTTACACGTAAAGTTGGAAACTTTACGTGTTATTCATGCTCTAGGAGCCCAGATCTATGAATGGCATGGACTGGATTCGAGCAAAATCGTGTTTATGGCTCTTGCATGAAGAAGACTCGGCGAGTCTAGTCGCGAGTCTCCGAGTTGTCCCCTTTTTCGTTGTGCCGACTTGTGAAGTGAGTCCAGGGTGGACTCGGAGAGTTGGAAGCCAAAACTCACCCATAAGGGAACTCGGCGAGTCGATGCCCAGACTCGGCGAATTCAAGGCAACCTTCTTAGAATCAAGAACAGACTCGGTGAGTTGTTCATACAACTCGGCGAGTCATAGTATAAATTGTTCATCTGATGAAGATGAACTCGGCGAGTTGTTCATACAACTCGGCGAGTATGATGAAGGACTTGAGCATCAGTTTGGAAGGAGAACTCGTCGAGTCAATGCCTAACTCGACGAGTAGAAACAGAATCCAGGTCAGTCGTTTGGACATGGACTCGGCGAGTTGGCGAGCCAACTCGGCGAGTCGGGTCAACTGAAAGTTGACTCTGACTTTGATTTAGGGCATGATCAAGGGTAAAATGGTCATTTTACCCAAAGAACAGTTAGTAGGTTTTGACTAAGTGTTTGGTGGAAATTACAGCCGGAGGATTTCCGTAGCAGCAGCAGCAGCAGACAGACTATTCCCGCACAGATCAGCAGCTACTACGAGGCGAGTTACCTTCCAGTAGTGGTGGGTGTAAGGCCACAATGCCGGCCCACTGGTAGGAGATGTGTGATTAGATGATTGTCTTTGTGATATTCATCTAGGGTTGCTACTACCTGTTTTATGTTTATGTGTTAGTGACAGTAGGGGGAGATAGTCCCCCAGAACACCAGTTGATAGGGCGGAAGGGGCGGTCATGCCCAGCCATGCTAGATAGACTATGTGATATATGTGTTATGTGGTAGTAGTAGGGGGTGAAATAGTCCCCAGTATCCGGTCGAGAGGTTCGAAGGGGAGCCAGCACCCAGATATCCTAGGCAGTATCCGGTCGAGAGGATTGAAGGGGAGGCCAGCACCCAGATATGCTAGGCAGTATCCGGTCGAGAGGACCAAATGGGTAGGTCGGGCACCCAGATATGCCTGAAAATTTATCTACGTTATGTGATTGTATGGTATGTGGTACAATGGGGGAGCTCACTAAGCTTTGTGCTTACAGTTTACAGTTTTGGTTTCAGGTACCTCTTCATCGAAGGGGAAGGAGTTGGCATGGTAGCGGCACATCATGCACACACACTGGTTTCCGCATCCATTGGATTTCTCTGGGATTTATACTCTGATATTTTGATTGGTTGTATGATTTAGCTTTTAGACATGGTTTACGTTGTGATGTGGTCGATCAAACAATGCTTTTAATTATTAACGTTTTCTAAAGTAATGTTTTAAAAACAAAATTTTCGGACGTGAAAATTGGGTCGTTACATCACATGTTATTCTCGACAAATCAATAAGAAAAGGAATGAATATACCCTTATAAGACAGAAAAATGTTAGACTGACTTGTTCAAACTCAAGAAATGTGTTTTTTTTTCAACAGCAAGACAAACACAACTAATCATTTTGGGTTCCTGTTGAAGCAAGAAAAAAAAAACAAGAAAATTGAGATAAAATAACAACCAACCACGGATAAAATGAATTAAGGCAATAAAAACGACGACCTTGTTGAATATCAACATACTTGACATAAGTATGCTGAGAAAGAGGAAAGTATCCCGGGAAAAAAAAATACACAAAATTATCATACAATTTTGCAAGAAAAAACACGAATTGCAACATGAAAATAAACAGACATGAAGTGTGTGTGTGTGTGTGTGTGTGTGTGTGTGTGTATATATATATACAGACTTCATGTCTATTTATTTTAATGTAGCAATTCGTGTTTTTTCTTGCAAAATCTTAAACTCGGGGGAACATAAATAGACTCACGGTCAACGAATTAAGTCCCTAAACTCGGATCTTTCAAGGTATCAATGTAATTGTTTGGGTTAATGCGGAATCTTAATGAAAAAACTATAAGAAACAAACAATTGAATGAATCAATGAACACATTTCAATGAATGCACACAATTCTATTGATCAATTGTCAAGTACATTCGACCTCCTTTGGTGAGTCACTAGAATACTCCAAAATGCATTACCTTAGAATAGCTACACACAAACCATATTTATACTAAACGAATAACCTAAAGCCCAAATATAATAAATCCATCAAAGACACACTAAGCCCACTAGTGATTTCAGTGCAAAACCAAGAACACATAATACATACAAAAACAAAGCATAAACCAAAAAATATAGTACACGAATCTCCCCATTGGTTTATTGCTTTCTGTTCTCTTTAGGGTTTATCTACGAGATACACATCCACTTGGTCAAAAGCTCCCACCCACTGCTTATTGTCAATAATAGTAGCTACCATTCCATTGAAGGCTTTTGCAGCAGCCTCAAAAATTTCATTCACAACAGTTATTTGAAAGTTTGGCAAGGTGCGGATATTGCGTTCTCCAAACTTCAACAAGTCTTTGGGATCAACAATACGATACTCGTTTTTCTTCAGCTTGATCACTACTGTTGTAGTAGATTCATCAAAAACCCAGAATTGCATTGTATCCAGAGTACCTTCAGGTAAACGTTTGGGAAGAGGAATTCTTTTGGCTTGCTTTGTTGGAGGCCATTCACCAGAGTTTTGTTGGTGTGAGGATCAATGACACCCTTGGCCTTCTTAGTGAATGATGAAGCAATCTTCAAATCTTCAAAGTTATTTTTTTGCTTTGACTTCAAGAAAACTCTTAAAAGACCAGGTCATGATATCATTAGTTGGATTGTAGAAAGGAGCATCGATGAGTTCAGAAAGATCAACATTTGTCCAGGGCAAGAATTCGACTTTCTTCTCATAATATTCAATTTGTCCGCTTTTCCGCTTCACGATCCACATTTTCTTTTCTGCATCATATCCCCACATCACGATGTCAGAACGATCCCCATATTTATCTGTGAATTTCTCCCCAGACTCCCTAAAGAACTTCTCAGGATGATCACTTGGAGCATTTTGGTTTGAATGCTTCATCACGATCATTTTCCCTTTTAGTTGCTCAACCCTAGTTTGTTTCTCTCTTCTTTCTTGAGCAGTAATAGGAACCGAAGATAAAAATGAATCAATGTTAGCATCTGGAGCAGGTCTTACAGCTCTTTCACTAGAAGACTGTGAAGTTGGATCGGCAGCACCTGAACAAGAAGCTGAAATATTTTCTCCTTCAGCGCTCAAAGGTTGAAATTCATCACCAAACTTTTGATGTCAGCGTTGTTTCAGATCAAAGAACAAAGTAGTTAGACCACCAAGATTAACTTGAAGTTCTGAAATCTTTGCATCTTTAATGGAATTCTCCTTTTCAAGCTCACTGATTCGAATATCTTGTCTTCCAGTAATCAAATCCTTTTCAATTGAGCTTTGTTCCAAATCAAAAACTATGTTCTGAAGCAGAGCGACATCCACAAATTTAGACTCAGGCAACTTGCTTTTGCCTTTTGAAATGTCCAACTCAGGGGCTTCTAAAGAGCTTCCAGAAGCTTGAGCTCCTTCAGAGGGAAAGACTTCTTCAATAATAAGGCTTTGAAAAATCTTGATCCGTAGGAGTGGACTCGGGTAACGGGCTTTGAATGTCTTGAGCCATATAAATAGGCTTAATCGGTGTGGATATATTTTGAACAGGGTTTGTGATAAGCACTCCCGACCTTGGGTCTCTTCTTTTTCTCTTTCTTAGGAGTAGGTTATGTGCTAAATCTTCTTGATCACTTTCAGATGGAGGTTCAGTTGTGACAAGAACTATTTGGGGAGGCTTCCTTGCAGTTCGCTGAAGTTTTGTAATAAAAGCATCCACCTGTTCAGGGGTCGGTACAGAGGATTGCACAGTTGTATCACGATCTCTTTCAGGCACATCAAATGGTGTGACAACTGCATCCTCTTCTATATTTGAAATACTTTGCTGAATTAAATCCTCAAACTCATTCTTTGTCAATTCCTTTTCTTGATCTTCTTCTTCTTCATCATCAGATACTTCAATTTCTTCATAGGCAAATTGAAATTTTGGCTTGGGCATCATGTATTTCTCAACAATCTCAGCATTAATTAAACTAACAGCCGAAGAGCGTTCAACCTCGGAAAACTTTCCAAATTTAACCAATTCCTTTAGTCTTTGATAGTCAACTTTGAAAACCTTTCTTGATTGCTTCATAAGTCCAAAAGTGTTGGGACCCAAGGCTTTCATAGCCAAAGTATCAAATGACCTCTCAATTAGGGGATATTTTTCATTAAAGATCATTTGAAGGAACATGGAATACATCAAAAATAGGTCCTTCTTCTTCCCCTGAAGGTTGCTTTTCATTTCTTCAAAAACAAACTTTGAAAAGTTGTAATCCCAGTTCATTACTAAAGCGAAAATAGCTGAGGTCACAGTCTGACTAATTTCATCAAATCCTCCCTTCCTTCTAGAAATGCAAATCACAAATGAATGTGTCAGGAACCTCCAATAAGGTGGTAGTAGCTTCTTGATGGTGGGAGGATAGGTTCCTTCATAACACATCATCTCTAGAACTTCCTTGACTTGATCAGCAGAGTACTCAATTGGGAATGCAGAAGCATCACCAAATTCAAGTACTTCTCGAATAACTTGTTCATAGATTCTCTTTCAAAAAAAACTTGTTCAGAGATTACTACTTGTGTTCCTTTCACCATTGATTCAATGGTACTAGCTCCATCTGCTCTCAACTTGTTGATTGAAGCATTTTTCCAAAACTCAATAATCATATCTTTGTGGATGACTGGATTAGCACGAAGAGCTTAAGAAATTCTGCAATTGTTCAAACCCACCATCATGGATTTGAATTCTTGATGAGCAGGAGGTGGATCCATAAGATATCCAGCAACGTTGTGAGAGTCTACAAATTTTAGTTGCTCTGCCATTTATCTGCACCAACCTAGCCAAGTAAGAACTAATTTAAAATTAATTAAATTAAATTTGAAATTTGATTTCGGTTAAAGTCAAAGTTTTAATTGATTTCGGTCAAAGGCAAAGTTTCAGTCGTTTACGGTTAAAGTCAAGATTTCCATCGATTTCGGTCGAAAATACTTTTGACCAGACGTTTTCGGCCAACATTTGTTGATTTTGGCTGAGAACTCAATTTTCGGTCAGGTCTTCATTTGATTTCGGTCGGATCCGAGTTGAACTAAAAACCCGAAACCTCACTGGAACCTGTTCCAACTCAGTTCTTCGAAAAACTCTTGAAAAATTCACTCGAAAACCTGCAAATCTATGAAACCAAGTAGACCAAAAACAACATCAATGTCATTGTCACGATCGAAAACCCAAAAATTACTTGATTCACCGAACAATTTTGCAACAAAACAACGAATGAATAGGATTTTGCAGAAAACTCGAAGGAGAATTGACGGCCTCTGTTCTCTGTGATTTTGCTGTAGTTATCAGGCAACCAGGAAGAGCCCAATCGAAACACAAGCAAGGTCATACGGGGAACAAGGTTCCATCAGGTTGCATCCTCCTCCAAAGAAGAAATAAACTGATAGCATTCGCCTGTCAATCCATCAATGATGATGTTGATGATGTATGTTTACATGTCCTCTTTCTAACCATGTGTGTGTTTGTGTGTGTGTGTGTGTGTGTGTATATATATATATATATATATATATGTGTGTGTGTGTGTGATTACAGGTCATGAAAGTGATTGATTATTTCACTTTTTCACTAATTTTTGTCTTCTTTGGTTTGTGTGAAGGTTTTGACATTGGTTTCTCATATGTAGTCTAATGAATTCAAGATGTTTAAAATCTAAGCTTGAGTTGGCAAGTCTCGTCATCCTTCTTTGTTACCCACCACCTTAAAACCTGAGATTCTCCACAACCGATCCATTTTCATAAAGTAGTATTCAACCTAATAAATGGGGCATTACCAGAGGAAAAAGGTAATGATGTGCATCAATTGTTAGCTTCTATTATCAATCTAATATTTAGTTTCTCTTCCTGTCAGTTTTGTTATTGCAAATGTTGTTTTTTTTATCTCGGTTAAACTACACTACACTGCTTGGATTTTCAACTGTGTTCACAATGGTGTATATTTTTTTAGATGAGAAACATAATTAACCATAACCTTAGCTATTGGTGTTGCTCATTGTATCATAATCGTAGCACACATGAGAAAAAAGACGATTAATGAGAGGAAATGTGAGGTGGGGAGATGCCTTAAGGTAATAATCTATGATTTTTTGTGAATTCGAACCTAATTTGTTGTCTTTATGGTTAGTGTTTCGTATAACTTACTTATGTAAATCTAAGTGATGTTTTTGATATTTGAATCCATATTTTATTTAATTACACCTAATATGTTTCAATGCATATTTCAATTATTTTTAGGTTCAAACACATTTTGGAATCTATCATGTTACATGTTGATATTCATAGTTTTTTTTATCATAACTATAGTAAAGAACAAGTTTATTTTATGATTAATCCATAAACTATGTACCACAAAGTATATATTAGCATATGGATAAAACATAAAATTCATTAGAGTTCAAATTTGAGTTATTTATTGTAATATTTGGATTATTTCTACTAATTATTTGGATTGTTTAATTACTTCTAAAAAATAAAGACTACGAACATATACCAATAACCTAATTATTAAATTTATTATAATTTATAAGTAAAACAGTTAAACTAATAAGTAATAACAAAATGATTGTAAATTAAAGTTATTTCATTTTTATTGCAAAATGTATCGACCATTTTATTATTTAAGCTTAAAGAATTAAAAAGTAAAAACACGTTTTCACCTACAACGGATAATAAACCCCTGAAAATTAAAAATTAAAACTGTTCACACAATATGAATAAGAAATTAAAAAAAAAAAAAAAAAAAAAAAAAAAAAAAAAAAAAAAAAGGTTCAAAGCAGGTTATCAACACTACTAATCGATAAGAGTAACCAAATAAGTATAGATTCAGGTTTGTGCTTTTAACCATAGTTAAACCATTCACATATCTTAAAGATATTTTTTTAGTTCTATTAGGAGATAAAACTTGCCTATCTTCATGTTATGTGATTTTTTTTTAACAAATTATAACAACATATATACTTATCATAAAAAAAGAACTTTTAATTTTAAATTATAACTCTGTCAACAATATACAACATTTAATATCAACACCATTACCTACCGTTTCTTTAAATATTAATACATGAGTCATAACAAAAATGAGTTAAGAAGTATGAATTTGAATTATAAAATATTTTATTTCCTTTAATATCATATTTACAGTATTATAGATAAATTTTTTTATTTGATTCTTAAATTTTCTATATGGTCGTATTTATATGATAGAATAAATGACATAATTACAATCAATATTTTTTTTATTAAACTTTGTATGTAGACATGCAACAACAATAATTTTTTTTTTTACGGAACACTGTTAAAAATAATTTGCATAATTAATTTAAATTAACAATTATAAAGTTAGAGACAAATTATCTAACTTTTAAAAAAAAAACTTAAATCTTATTAAATTAATTAAAATTAAAAAATATTTTATTTGTGGTTTCCACAGGTTGTAACCTAGTGAAAATATGTATAATTACTATGGGTTGATCATATTGTGTAGATATCTCTATCTCTTTGGTTTCAATGGGCGGAGTATAGTTATCATTGAAATGAGACGGAACACTATGATACCCTAGATCATCACCCTGTTTATCTTTCTACTTTAATTGTTTTCTATCATTGACTCAACTATCTCACTTGACACATCGAATTTCTTAAAATTAAAATTAGCATCTTTAAATATAGCCTTTAATGAATCAAGTTCGACAGATAAGTTTGTAATTTTCTCTTTGGCAAAACGGTACTGAACACATTTGGTACTATATTCTTCATTAATCCTGCTTAAGTCTTTAGTTTGCGCTTCTAGTTTTTCTTTAAAGGATTTATTGATTTTCTTAATTTCATAAATTTCATTTTTAAGATCAAAACCCTCTCTAACTAATAATTCATTTTGTTAATGGTATTTATTATTTTGTCTTCACAGGATTGAGAGCATGAGGCTTCACTAGACTTCTTGACGCTGTTGTAAGAACTCATCATTAGAAAATTTTATTGTGCAATTTGATCTTGATCGAAAACCAAAAATAAATGTTCTTTAACCGAAAACACCAACAGTTGACCGAGAACCTTGAATGTCAAACCCAAGTCATTTGCAAAAAAAAAAAAAAATCTCTCTCTAGGTCACTTGGTGGTGATTTTGACTGGTCGGATTCCTTTCCGGTGTCAGAATTACTCTCAATTTGCTTGGATTTTGTTCAGTGACCTTCATCTATTGTCTGTGTGGATGGAGGTGAAATGTTTGGAAGAATTGGAAACATGTTTGGGATGAAGAATACTGATCCGCCTAATATACTTAATCAAAATTTGTATAATGATGACTTTAATGCTGATGTTGGTGCTTGGCGTCGAGGCAGAAGGGTAATTCATAAGGAGTTATCTCCTTACTCATAAACCTCCGAGAATGAAGGAGAAAATTAAATATTGTATTGATCGGAATATGGTGGAGAAGAATTTTTTGGAATCGAAGAGTGTTAAGGATGGATCGAAGATTGTTTTAAGAGCTGCAGTCCGAGAGGTTATCAAATCGGGATATGGCAAGGAGAATGCAAATCCAAACTTCATCAAATCAGAATTAAAAGTCATGGATAATGTGATTCACAACGGGTTCAATTCCAATCAGATGAGAGTAACAAAACAACTAATGAATTGGTGGAGGAAAGGGGTTTGGTGTTGATTCAAGCAACTTCTGATATGGTCGAAGGTTTCAATTCGTCTAAATCGATGGCCGGTAAGTCCAATCCTTTGATTTCGTCTACTGTGAATGATGCTATTAGCGATAAGGGTATTTTGGGTATAAAACTGGTTGCTCGTGGTTGGTTCATCCCCTGTTAAGGAGTCGATCCCTGTGAAGTCAATTTTGCCGTCTTTTTCTTCCTCAATCCCTGAAGTAGTGGTTTCTTCTTCTTGTGTTAATGGTAATGATAAAGTCATGAATGAGGGTTCGAATGATGGCAATAAATTGAATGGTGATCCAGATTTGGTGTTGAAAGCGAAACAGGGGAGTAACTTCCTGGACTTAAAATGTGATAATGATCCAATGATTGTTGAAGGTAATCCAAAATCTAAAATTTCTCCAGCTACTACAATTGTTAATGAGATAAACAGGAAAACTTATGCGAGAATTGTTGAGAATTCAAGTTCTGTGGTGGATCTCAACATTAAATTTATCCCTAAAACAGATGGAAAACCTGTTGGTAAAGTTGAATTACCATATGCGGACTTAATTCTTGGAGGAGCTCCTTACCATGCCACTCTTTATGGTTTCTCTGTGGGGAAGAAGCTTGCATTCCCCACTATGAAGTACTTCACCTTCAAGATGTGGTAAATCTTTGGACTTAAAGATATTATGGTAAATGATGAAGGGTTATTCTTCATCAAATTTGACTCTAAAGAGGGTATGATGAATGTTCTTGAAGGAGGACCTTGGCTTATCAACAGTGTTCCTTTGTTAATTCAAAGATGGAGACCTGGATTGATTTTGAGTAAACATCACATTAGCTCTGTTCCTGTTTGGGTCAAGGTTTTTAATGTGCCATTGGAATACTGGAATAACAAGGGTGTCACGCTAATTGCCAATCAAATTGGAAAGCCGATTACCATGGATAAGGTAACACAAAAGATGTGTAAGGAGCATTGGGGCAGGCCTGCTTTCATGAGATTTCTAGTTGAAATGTCAACAGAAACTGATTAGCTGAAGGAGATAAGTGTTGTTTCAATTGATTTTGGAACAGGTGAAAAAGTAGAGTCTAAATGCAGGGTTGAATACGCTTGGAGACCTGATGTGTGTACGCATTGCAAAGTGTATGGCCATAAGAACAGCAACTGCGGAATCTTAAACAGTTTGGATTCAAGAGGAAAAGGAAATGAAGACAAAATAGAGGAAGTTAAAAGTAGGACAGATAAAGCTAATGAAGATGGATTTGTGTTCGTTACTAAGAAAAATAATAAAGGAAAGCAATTAAGTTCTAACATGGTTTTACAAGATAATGGCAAGGTGGATCTCATTAAATCTCTGGAAAAAAAATACAATTCTTGTTAATGAAGGGGATAATGTTAATGCTAAAGAAGAGATTAACAAAGATGTTGTTAATCAAGGAAAATTAAAAGGAAAACAAGCGAAAGATCAAGGAAGTCAAAAGATGAATTCTAAAGAGGTGCAAAGCAATAAAGGGGCTGGTAACAGGAATAATAATGGAAGTTTTTCGAAGTTTGCAGTGGGAAACCTTAAAAAAGATGCGAAGGAAGCAGGGGCATTTCAATCAAAGGAGGGTAAAAATGGAAAAGCAAATGGAATGGGGGTTTTTATACCCAAGGATAAATTGGGTGATAGAGTCGGGAATGTAATTGATAATTTTAATTCGAAGAAAGTTGAAGAGCAAAAGAAAACAGTTGAAAACAAGAAAGTGTATGTTCCCAAAAAACAAATGGAAGTGAAAGTACAAATTTTGATAATGTTGGATCTACTTCTGGGAAGGATAATCAAGAGGATTTTATTTCTAAAAATCCTTTTGATGTTCTAAATGATGAAATGATTTCGAGGGATCTTTCTTACATTGATGAAATGGATCAAGAGATTATCACTGGTGGTGTCCAAGAGTCTAACACCAAATCTCAAGTTATTGATCAATGACGATAAGTTTTGGTTGCTGGAATGTGAGAGGTGCTAATCTCAGGCCTAAGCATGAGGAAATAAAAAATATTATTAGAAATAATAAGTTATCTCTTTTTGCCATTCTTGAATCTCAAGTCCGGTTTGACAAGCTTCAAAGGAACTGTAGTTCAATTTTTGGTAATTGGATGTGGATCTCTAATCATGAGTATAGTAATAAGGGTACACATATTATTATTGGTTGGGATCCACAAAAGATGGTTGTTATGCCTGTTGATTCTTTTGATCAAGTTATGCATTGTAAAATCATTTTCATTAAAGAGAGAAAGGATTTTTGCTTCTTTCATTTTATGCGTGCAATTATCATATGGATAGGAGGTTATGGTGTGATCTTGAAAAGCATAAAAGCGTGGTTGATAATTTACCCTGGATACTTGCTGGTGATTTTAATATGACAAGGGATCTTCTGGATTCTACTGCTGGAAGTTCAGTTTTATCGAGAGGGATGGCTAATTTTAATGAGTGTATGAATAAAATTGAAGTTCAAGATTTGAACAAAAATGGTATTCATTTCAATTGGAATCAAACACCAAAAAAGAATAATGGGGTCCTTAAAAATCTGGATCGTGTGATGGGGAATTTTAAGTTCATTGAAGATTTTCCATGTGTTTTTGCTAACTTTCAGTCATACCGTAATTCTGATCATAGCCCAATGATTGTTAAATTCCCGATGAAAAAGAAATTCAGAGGCAGACCTTGTAAATTTGTTAATGCTATTACTTTGAGGGATCATTTTATCCCCATAGTTGCTATATATTGGAACACTCATGTGGATGGTTTTGATATGTTTCGGTTGTGCCAAAAATTGAAGATTCTTAAGAAGCCTCTTCGTAAGCTGATGGTGGATCAAGGAAATTATGGAGAAAAAGTTCAGAAATGTCGTGAAGAGTTAGATAGAATTCAAACGGAGCTTGATGGTGATCCGTTTAATGAAGAAATTCAAAGTGTTGAAGGAATTTATTTACAAGCTTTCATTAAAGCCGGAGAAGAAGAGGAAAGTTATTTGAAGCAAAGGGCTAAGGTTCAATGGTTAAAAGAGGGTGATTGTAACTCGGCTTATTTTCACAAGGTTGTTAAAGGAAAGATAAATAGACATAGAATTGAAAAAATTATGGATAGGTATGGTAATTGGTGGGAAGGAGATGAAGTCAGTAAAAAGATTGTTGACTACTTCAGTGAGTTTCTTGGGATTGAACATTCTGTTAAGCTTATCAGAGATCCGAGTAGCCTTTTTGTAAATAAAGTTGATCATTCACATGCTTTGGGTATGATTAGAGAGGTTTCATGTGAAGAAATAAGAGTTGCTTTATTCGTTGTTGGAGATGATAAAGCTCCAAGTCCGGATGGATACTCTTCTAAGTTCTTTAAAGCTGCTTGGGCCATTGTGGGGGGATGACTTTTGCAAAGCTGTGAAGGAATTCTTCAACAAAAAGATTATTCTAAGGGAGATTAATGCAATTGTGATTGATCTTGTTCCTAAAGTGCAAACTCCGGGAAAAGTTGGAGATTATAGACCAATTTCCTACTGTAATGTGGTTTATAAGTGTATTAGTAAAATAATTGTGAATTGAATCCGTGATAGCCTTGGGTCTTTGGTCTCTGATAATCAGTCTGCATTCATTCCAAGGAGATCTATCCTTGATAATATCCTTTTATCCCAAGAGCTTGTGCGTGGTTATCATATTAGAAGAGGATAGGCCCGTTGTGCTTTGAAAGTGGATATCCAAAAGGCATACGATACTGTAAATTGGAATTTTCTTAAAGTTATTTTGGATGCTTTTGGATTTCATGATACGATGAATGCATGGATCATGAATTGTGTGACGACTTCACCCTTCATGATTAATATTAATGGGAATTTTCATGTTTTCTTTAAAGGGAAGAGAGGGTTGAGGCAAGGTTGTCCTCTTTCACCTTATTTGTTCACTCTTGTGATTGAAATTTTTAATCTTATGTTAAAGAGATGTATCATGGAGAATGAAGGAGTTAAATATCATTGGCGTTGTAGAGCTCAAGAAATTACCCATCTTTGCTTTGCTGATGACTTGATGTTATTCTGCCATGGTAATTCTAGCTCTGTTAGAATTATTAAATGGGCTATGGATGAGCTTGCAGGGGCTGTTGGGCTGATTCCCAATTTGTCTAAAAGTCATATATACTTTGGTAATGTCAAGGAGCTGTTCAAAAGAGCGATTTTGGATATTCTTCCATTCATTGAAGGAAAGCTTCCTATGAAGTACTTAGGCATTCCTTTGATATCTACTAGTTTGTTCAACAGGGACTGCAAGAATCTCACTGATTGGAAGAATAAATCTTTGTCTTATGCTGGAAGGTTTCAGTTAATTAGCTCTGTGCTTGCTTCCATTCCTGTGTATTGGGCGTCTGTGTTGCTATTACCAAAAGCCATTACTTCTGAGATTGAGAAAATTATGAGGAACTTCCTTTAGAGTAGTGGTGAGAACAGAAAGGGAGTGGCTAAAGTTTCTTGGAGGGAAATCTGTAAACCAAAGATTTATGGTGGTTTGGGCCTAAAGAATCTAAATGATTGGAATATTGCTCTTCTTTCTAGTAGAATATGGAAAATCTTAAGTGGTCACAATTCTTTGTGGGTTAAATGGATTAATTAGTATATTCTTGAAGGAAGAAGTTTCTGGGATGTGGGGTTGAAGGATAAGATGAGTTGGAGTTGGAGAAATTTAATAAAGATTAAACCTTTTCTTCGTGATTCTTTTTATAATCAGATTGGAAATGGTGATGGTACGTTCATGTGGTTTGATAATTGGCATCAGCTAGGTCCTTTAAGTTATGTTCTGTCTCATAGGGAAATAGCGAATGCTGGATTTAATATACGGGATAAAAATAGTATTGTGATTAATCATGAGAATTGGAATTAGACGTAGGAGTGGTTGAGATTGATTCCTCAGGTGGGAGAGTACCAAATTCCTTGACTTGTGAGAGATAAAAAGGATGTGGTGCTATGGATGAATGGGAAGAAAGAGTTTTTCCCTTTTGATGTTAATCAAGTTTCTTCTTCGTTAATTATTCAAGGAGCTAAAGTTAACTAGAATGATCTCATAATAGAATTGCTAATCATTGTTTTATTCTTTGGTTAGCTATCCTTGGTAGACTTAGAACTCAAGACAGCATGAAGAGATGGAAGGAGTCTAATGACTTATTCTGTGCTTTCTGTAATGGTCTAGTTGATTCTCATTGTCACTTATTTTTTTTTTTTGTGTAATTTTCCTATGGAAGTTTGGATGTCGATTAAGAAGCAGGTTAACATCAATCATAAGCCTGGGAACTGGTTTGAGTTAATTCATCAACTTCAATTTTCCCTTAAGAAGAAGACTATTGAGAATTTTATCAAGAAATGTGTTTGGCTGCTTCAGTTTATCATATCTGGAATGAGAGGAACAAAAGAATTTTCGGGAGAGAAACTAATTCTGTTGAATTTGTTGTTCAAAGAATTATGGAAGATATTAGAATGAAGATATTTGGTCTCAATTTGGGATATTTGGGACTGCATGTTGAGATTTGCAAAAAAAAATGGAATATTCCTATTAAAAATGTCGATAGTCTTAATAGGGAGTGAATTCAATTAAATAATATTTCACCACTTGGTTTTAGATTGTAATTTGTGAATATAATATTTTTTT